CTTTGTGTTTGAAAACAAGAAGTTGTGGGCCATTTTTATCATTGAAAGCATAGTAAAGGTAGAAAATGTCTATGTTCTGTCTTTTTTTTTCCTATAGAAGCCTAGTAGAAAAAGACATGGCGATGGGGTTTCAGAGAGGCACAGATCCCCAGTGTGGTTCCATCTGTCTGTATGGTCTTTCATATCCTGTATTAATGCAGGTCCCATTACTTTCTTTTTCTTACTTCCTCACCATCTTTTTTCCTATTTACATTCCTTATGTACCAAACATGAATGATTCTTGATTCAAGTTCCCTCCAAGGACCAGTTTTCAGGAACTTTCATGTTGATCTACCATGGAACTACCAGAAGAACTGGAAATTGGAAGTCCTATAAAATAGATTAGAGCTTGGAAAGACCTCAGTGAAGATCTAGTAAAATATATGTATAGCCAACAGTTACGTGTGGAATTTGACAAGAACATTCAACTATCTCTGAAATGTTCTCCAGTTCAGCACTTCTATGATTACTATGACATTCTGTAGTCATCTAACAGTGAGTTAGAAGTAAGGACAGTATTAAAAGGACACTTATTTAGAAAAAGACAATTACTTCAAAAAATGCAACAAGTCACTGTCTCATGAGTCCAGTACTGCGACAGGCACTGAACACCAAACAGAACAAAACAAAACTCATCAGCAACGGTAACAAAACAACAGAAACCAGCAAGGCCAAAGTCTGCTTTCAAAATGCTTACCGATTATAAAATGAACAGCACAGACTTAATTGTTTGTTAACTATGAAAGAAGTCCAAAGGGATAAGTAAAAGAACTGAAGAAACTTCCTTTGAAAAGGTGGGGCTTAGTTTAAACCTTGAGAAGTAATATAATAAAACCATAACTTGTCTTAGTCCTAAAGTCATTGAAATTCTGGAAATAAATGTTATAGAATCATTTTCTAGATTTCTGGAAGAAGAGTGCAATGAAGTATTAAATGTACAGAAAAAAGCTATTCCAAATGAATTGTTATTGACCAAGTTTCCAACAAAGTAGTTTCATAACTCCCAGAAAATATCAGATCACTTTGTTGACTGTCCTCTTAGATCAAAGATGAATAAGGAAAAGAAACTGTTCAAGTGGGAGCAGTGGATTTGATGTAGGGAGATAAGACTAATGGGGCTTCCACTGCAAGAACTTATTTTGATGTTGATTTGGTAGCTGAAATAAATCTCCTTTTTGTTTTGCATGTTTAATATATTGAATTTTTGAAACCATATTAGGTACTTTTATATCTCTCTACGTGTAAGCTTGATTTCATTAGACTATATTAAAATCAATTTGTTAAAAAGTTCAGAGATAAGTAGGAAATAGAAAAATCCTGTTAATTAAAGAAGAAAAGTAAATAAAGAAATCAAATGACTCTAAATAACTACACCACAGACAATTTTGATAAAGTAAATGTCTCTTCCACTTCAAAGTATGGCATCATGAAATTAGGCTATTACTTTCTTATTCATCGTTTACAATGAATTGTTGGCACTCAGTGCACTTTGCTTCTGTGTGGCTATGAGAATGGAAACACTGAGGAGCATGCTCAGTGGAGTGATCATCAGCAGAGAACCTGAGCAGGAAGAGAGCACTCTATCACTGGAGAAATTAGGATGAGGGCTGGGGTGCTACTTCACTCAAGTGTTCTCGGGTTGGTGCTTATGTCATCCACTCTGGACTTGTCTTTGGGCTTAGTTTCTTACTGTTGGATTTTTCCTAAATTTGTAAAGCTTAAAACAATGGCCTTATTTTAGAGCACATGCAACTTATGATATAATATAATATACAATAGTTATTTGGTTATAATTCTAGCAGTGTATATATAATGGTGTTAAACAGGTGTACAAAATTCATGCAACCACTGTGGAAATCAATATGGAGATACCTCAAACAACTAGGATTAGAGGTCCTATTTGACCCAGCTGTTCCCTTGCTGGGGATCTTCCCAAAAGAATGAAAAGAATTGTACCACAGCAATATATGCACACCCACGTTTATAGCAGCACAGTTTGTAATAGCTAAAACTTGGAAACAGTGCGATTGTCCATCAAATGGAGACTGGATAATGAAGATTTTTAAAAATAAAATGGCGTACTGCTCAGCCATAAAAAAAAAGAAACTAGAGATATTAATAGCTAAGTGGATGCACATTGAGGCCACGCTCTTAAATGAAATTAGTAATTCACAAGTGTAAATACCAAATAGTTTCTCTGGTGTGAAAAACTAAAAGTGTTAATAAGGATCAAAATGTAAAACTGATATCGTGCAATAGGAAAAAAGGTCTAAAAGAGTAGAGGAAGTGGGAGGGGTAGGGGACAGGTAAAAAAGGGAAAAGAAAAAATATGTGAATAGGAAAAACATGGAAACAATGTCTTTGTAAACTGGGAAGGGTGGGGGCGGTGAAGGAGAGCTGGGGAATGGGAAAAAAAGGAGCAAAGATAAGTCATGTAAAGGAACAAGATCCCAATGATGAATGTAACTGTACCAACAAACTCAATAAAGGCAAAACAAAAATCATAGCCAGCATGAGGTAGAAAAAAATAGCAGCATTTGTTACCCTGATCAGCTAACCAAATGTTATTGATCAGAATGAAATATAACAGTCCAACTTAGACTTAACCTTAATAAGGTTAAGAAAGTTTTTCTAGGAGTCTAAGTTTCATCGTGATTACTGACATTTAGAAATTTGAAGAAAGGAGCTAAAGGTGTAGGTGGAAGGGTGGGGGCGGTGAAGGAGAGCTGGGGAATGGGAAAAAAAGGAGCAAAGATAAGTCATGTAAAGGAACAAGATCCCAATGATGAATGTAACTGTACCAACAAACTCAATAAAGGCAAAACAAAAATCATAGCCAGCATGAGGTAGAAAAAAATAGCAGCATTTGTTACCCTGATCAGCTAACCAAATGTTATTGATCAGAATGAAATATAACAGTCCAACTTAGACTTAACCTTAATAAGGTTAAGAAAGTAAAGAGCAGATTTATGTTGTTCAGAGAGTCATATAAATAATGTGGTTATTTTTCATTAACATTAATTCAATAGTTGATCTCTCCTGTGGCCATTAAATATAGTCATACATTCAAGTGGATTGACCCTATCATAAGAAATGCATTTAAGGCTGTATCTTTTTAACTGTCAAATTTGATTACTTTTCCAGAAATTTTAAACAAATCACAGTGGCAATTTTCACTTGGTATAGGGCCGGTGATTTAGCTCAGTGGTTTTGCTGCCTGCCTCGCAAGTGCGAGGTCCTGAGTTCAATCCGCAGTACCAAACAAACAAACAAACAAACAAACAAAAAACCCTCTTGGTTTCAGTATTCAGAAATAGAGACTTTTGAATCAATGTGATATGCTGTTAATAATTTCACTAAATTATGTATATATGTATGCATGTAATTATCTGTCTATCTATAATCTATATACTTCTTATATTATCAGATACATATCCCACATCCATTTATTTTCTATCCATTCAGACATAAACTTATTTATTTGTCTCTAAAATCTATGAGTCTTTATTCATCTGTCTTTATTTGTATCTAAGGCAGGGCATTATTAAACAAAGTAATATGGAAAACTTGACAATACCATGCAGTTAGCTATTTTTTAAGAATTACACTATTTCAGTTTTATGAATTAAACATTTTCCTACATGTATTTCTCAGAACAATAAGGACTGAAAATTTCTTGATGACAACCTGCCCCAAGCTCAAGAGAGAGGGAGATGGAAATGGAGATAGATAGTAATAGAGATGGCAGGAGGCAGGAGAGAGAGAGAGAGAGAGAGAGAGAGAGAGAGAGAGAGAGAGAGAGAGGGAGGGAGGGAGGGAGAGGGAGAGGGAGAGAGGGAGAGAAGAAGAAGAAGGAGAAGGAGAAGAAGAAGAGGAAGAAGAAGAAGAAAGGAGGGAATGGTGACTGGAGGAGAGAGAAAGAGAGAGAATGAATGAAATTTATTTACCAGACTCTAGTCAAATAGCTCTATAAACTGGGAAAAGTGATATTATTGCATTTCTCAGTTTCGTCATTTGTAAAATAGACTTTGTCAGGTGATTTCTTTTTTCTAAAGTATACAGAAATATATAAAAGATCACTGTTTCTTCAGATTCTTCAATGAAATACTATGTCTAGCCAGGAGAAAATGTCTCAGATTCATTAGAACTTCAGTATTTACAATGTGGCTTTGCATGCAAAGTAACATAATAAGCATTATTGTATGAAAACAACATATTACTGCTTAGGAATTTCTGTATTTGTAAGTGAACAACTTGGGTGCTGCATCTAATCTCCTTTTAGAGAATAGAATTGTGGATGAGATTTGTCCTAACTGGAGGATCCATTGATTCTTTAGTGTATAAGGCAATAAGAATTTTCTTAATGTTTATTATATTGTTTGCAAACCATGGAATGTTCTTTTGCGAATGTAGATATTGAAGATAGAGAAGATCTGTTTTTATTCTTATCAAAGATGATATATGAACATATTAAGTAGGAAATGTTCTTCATACCAAGAATCTTCAATTGTTTTCTGATGTTGGAATTTAAAAATCATGCATAGATTACAAAAATATCATCCTTGCTCTAGTTCACAAGATGCTGTACCAAGTGTTGATGCTTTCACATTTGCATTTTTTTGGTGACCATTGCAAGAAGCTGGGAGAGGGCTTATTACTTTTAAAATATGTGAACATTTCAAGGGAAAGAACAATGAAATATTTAGACCTGACAAAAGTTGAATATTCTAAAACACGGATCCTTGAATACTAAAGTGTTGAGTACGAGTTTTATAATGTCCTTTAATAAACCTTGTGTTGTGTGAGGAACAACTCAAATGACCAGAACTCAGTGAGTGCTGAGTTAATTATACAAACAATTCTGCCATGAATGGATTCACTTAAAGCAATGTAGTCACTATTTTGACCAGTTGAATGAGAAAGATGTGTTGAACAAGTATCTCATTTTTATATAAAGAAAATCAAGGTGTATGATGCGTTTTTCTAGATTTAAATATCCAGCCACTTAGTTTCCTCATAGAATCTTTGACATCTTTATTTCTAAGAGTATAGATTACTGGATTTAAGAGGGGGGTAAATATGGTGTAAAATACTGAGAGAACTTTGTCTACTGGGAAATTTGTAAAAGGCCACACATAGATGAAAATGCATGGGCCAAAGAAAAGTGTTACAACAGTGAAGTGGGCACTGCAAGTAGAAAGAGCTTTGGACGACCCACCAGAAGAATGCTGCCGGACAGTGACCAGAATGACAGTGTAGGAGATCACCAGGAGGATGAAGCATACCAGGGCGATCATGCCACTGGTGGAGATCATGAACACCCCCAAAATATATGTGTCTACACATGCAAGTTTAATTACCAAAGGGAGGTCACAGAAGAAGCTGTCTACTTCATTGGGTCCACAGAAGGGCAGATTCACAGTAAATGCTAACTGACTCAGAGCATGAAAGATGCCCACAACCCAGGAAAGTATAACAAGCCCAATGCACATCCTCCTGCTCATGATGGTCAAGTAATGTAAAGGTTTACATATAGCCACATACCTATCAAAGGACATGGAGATGAGAAGAACAATCTCAGCACCTCCTAAGAGATGTAAGAAGAATATCTGGGTTATGCAGCCTTCAAAAGAGATGACTTTATGTTCACGGAGGAAGTCTGCAATCATTTTGGGGGTGGCAAATGAGGCCAGGGACGTGTCGATGAAGGAGAGATTACCCAGAAGGAAGTACATAGGAGAATGTAGACGTGGTTCTAACATGATGGTGAGTAGTATAAAGAGGTTCCCCAGTACCGTGGCTGCATAGACTATGGAAAAAAATAGGAAGTAAAAGATCTGAAGTTCGGAAGAACCAAACAGACCCAGCAGTATAAATTCTGTCACGATGGACTGATTGCTCCAGGCCATTCACTCTGACTTCTTGAAGAATTCTGACATTTCCCGATGAAGAAGAGCACTGAAATATTCAGCAATAAAACTAAACGTCACATTTTTTTGCATCGAATGATTTAGTAACAGCCCCCCACCAGATAGGCCCTTCTTATCTCCTGGCCCAACTCATGGTGACTAAATATTTCCCCAAAGGCCTTTTCAGATATTTTGAATTTATACAATTAGAGATTATTTCTTAATGTCTAACAATTCATCTTACAAGTAAAAAATTCATAAAAGAAATAAAAATTAAGATGTTCAAATATTTGCTCTTGAGTTTTTAAATTTCATAGCTAGCTTCCAACAGGTTTTGAAAAGGAGGTGATAACCTTTCCAAAACATGATGGATGAAAGGCTGATTTATTAGTGGACACACTAATAAAAGTGGAAAGGTACGTGGGTGGGTTCTATTCTCCTGCAGTGGACAGGAAATAAGAATCAGAGGAAGAAAAATGACCACAGAAAAGCAAAAGGATATAACCTCTCATTCTGAGTTCTTAATTCCAGTTATGTAGCTAAAATGAACTTTGCTTTATGTCAGCAATTTGAAACATGTTTTAAAAGACTGATTAATGTGCACTACTTAAAGCATGAAGGAATTATACTTTCCCAAATATATTTAAATAAGAGAACACTTTTTATTTGCTGGAGTTGCTTGACTTCCAGAAAACTACTTGAATCATAAAACTCCTCCTGTTTTCTGAGTTCTCTTGAAGCAAATATGAGGTATTTTATACAGACAAAAAATGGTAATGCTGACCTGACAAAAAGTTATGTAGCATACAATTCTTCAAAAGTTGTAATAAGATTGGTCAGTGAAAGCCTCTCTGGCAGAGATCTTTACAAAGTGCATTGGCAAGCAAGTTGAAACATGGGTTTAAAATTTATGACAGAATCCCTTTTGTTTGCCCCTAAAAACTTCCCCTCAAGCATTTGCATTTCTTTTCTTCTTTCTCAAAACTGTTCTGTAAATGCATATTCTAAACAAAATATTACAAAGCTAAATCCAGCTTACATGCACAACTACCTGGTATTCACTGACTTTTCGTTTGTTTGTTGCATTTTCTTTAGATTGTTCTCATGGCTTTTGCTACCCCAGAAAAGTTTAGAAGTCTTTTGCCCCACTTACCTGGTATTAAAACAGGTGTTTCTGGGACAGCACTTGCTTAAATTGAGGTTGTGGAAATAAGGAGTGGCTTGGGACTCAGAAAAGGTGGATTCAAATTTCCTAAAGATGTGCAGTTGGGTAGTTAATGAGTCAATCAATGACTCTGATTCTGTATGTTTAAATTGGGGAGATTAATTTATATAACTTTAAAGATCCTTTCCATTAGGCTCTGAAAGAAGTGATGACTTTTCCCCCAGAGTGAACTTGGTTTAATTTTATGCCTAATATCTGGGGAAAGGGGGTTCACAGTCTTTGGAACCCTTAATTTTATAAGGTTCACTGGCATTAATTGATTCAGTGAATTACATGATTGGCATGACAAAGACCAGCTGCTACTTGGGGAATAAACAATTATTCCATGTTTCAGTGGGAACTGTTACAACATTCAAGTTGGTTTGGCCAGAGGTGGGTGACAGAATGCACAACTGCTTTATGTACAGGGCTTGGATATGGTCAGGTTGGAAGGAGATAAAGAATACTCTTTACTTGGATCACAGCAAAGGTATAATATATAAGATTTATTATTTAACTTGTGGCCTGTAAATATAGCCTCAGTTCCTCCTTAATAAATGAGAATAAGTTCCATCTCTTGCTATTTGAGGAAAAACTCATATAACAGATAGCTAATGTTTAATACTTTAAATTTTGCAATTTTTTCCCTTGGGTCATAATATGACTAAAGGAAAGAGATGAAAAATGAAAGACTTATCAATTCTAACTATTTTAAACATATTAACTGCTCATTAAATCTTTATTTTTATGAAAAAATAGAACAATAACCAATAAAATATAGGAGCCAATCATTTTTAAATATTTTTAAATGAAATTTTTGAATATTTATATTTTCTCAGCTTTACCTCATATGGAAAACACTAATAATTGATGGAACTACCTCTGGTATAATATACTGAATATTGGGTCTCAGGATTAGGGGCCTGAGTTTACATCACAGTGCAAGACTATTACAGCATGATGAGTACATTGATACAGTAAAAATTCCCTATTTTGTAATAAGAGAAATAAAATAAACCATTGGCATATCAGTACATAGCAAGCTACTAAATTAGAGAATGAAAACCAATAACCAAGCATTAAAATGAAAAAAGATGTACAAATGGCTATTAATAATTTTTAAAATTCTCCCACTCTAAGGAGAAAATATGTTAAAATTTCATTGGGATCTAATTTAATGATCTTATGGTAAAATCATTTCTAATAGATAGCAAAATTCTAACTGCTTGAAAATTCTTCCACATATTTTAATGAGATAATACCAGAAGGGATGCAAAATGATTTTAATTTATGAAGGAGAATTCAAATATATACAGTTCACACTTTGTTTTTATTGGTCTGGTATTTATTTATTTATTTATTTTGTTCTTGTTGTTTGTCTGGTTTTTGGTGCCTGGGAGCAAAAATAGGACCTTGTGCTTGCAAGGTAGGTTAAACCCCAGCCCGGTCTGACATTTATTGATTCAACCAAATGTGAGTTGTGAGTTGAAAATATTTGAAAAACACTACACCTGTACTGAACATATGCAAGACTTTTCATCATTCATTACCTTCTAAACAATACAGCCTAACATAAATTAATATATTTTCATTTACATTGTGTTAGGTATTATAAATAATATAGAAATAATTTAACCTAGAGATAATGTATTATTTCATAAGGAAATGCTACACAATTGTATGTGAGTATTAAATAATTGAGATCAGCTACATTTTAAAAAGCTTGACATTAAAAGTTTCTAGAACGAGGCAGAATTCTAGGTGAAAGAGTTCAGGATGTTCCATCTCTACAACAATGCCTTCATTAAATTTGCAGCCACAGAAAAGGAGCCGACTCAAGGAACAGTCTAACTGGCTGCAGATGGCATTTGCCTTATGTGGTCATGTTTTGGCAACTTTCAGCCTCTGGCTGGAAGTTCTGCTGCTATAATTGGCTGAGACTTGGTTGGTTATAAGAGGATACATACTCTTAAATGAGGTTGCAATTTGTTTATGTATCAGGTTATAACAATGAATGGCCTGTATGGCCTATATGGCCACTTTGGAACAAATTTATTGTTCAGATATAGTGGACTGGGGAAGGGTAGGGGAAAGGTAATAAGGAAAAAGAAAAAATATGAGGAAATGAGAAAATGGAAATAAAGTGTTTGTAAATGGGGAGGGGAGGAGGGGGTGAAGGGAGGGCAGGGACAAGGGGAAAAAATAAGAACCAAGACCTGTCATGTAAAGGTACAAGATCCCAATGATGAATGGAACTGTTCTGTATACCTAAAATGCACCAATAAACTCAATGAGAGAAAAAAATAAAAACAAAAAACACAGTAGACATTATTGGAAAGGACTGAATTTGGGGTAGTACACGCTCATTTTTTAGAAGAGCTGAACTCTTACTACTGGTTAAATTTGATATTGTCCCCAACAGTAGCTGTCAGAATTTTACACCGAGGAGGTTGTGAGTCATAAAACCCCATCTGTCTTTATATTATATATATATATAACAGTATATATATATGTAATGGTATACATGTATAATGGTATATATATTTAATGGTATATACATATATATGCAATGGTATATATATAATGGTATATATATAATGGCATATATATATATATAGAATGGTGTATATATATATAATGGTATATATATATAATGGTATATATATGTAATGGTATATATATATATACAGTAACTACAAATACACACATAGATACACATAAGTAAATAGAAGAGAACAAAGAGAAGGATCTAGTAGGTAATAGCATTGAAGTGTCAGGGATAAAATAAAAACTTCTTTAATATTTACACTGTAAATTTTAGTTTTAATTTAGAGTAGGAAACCAAATTCAAACTGGAAATCTACTACACATTGTGAAATAAAGACTTTACTGTAGGAATTAGACTTTGAACAGGTGTGGGAGGATCTGGGCAAGTGAAGACAGGACGTTGCAGAATCAAAGGCAGTGCAACTAGTAAATCTAAGAAACTACATCTAACAAAGGAGAGTGAATCTCAAAGGGGGATCTGGTTGGAAGAAAGAGTCAATGTGAAACTTTACTCCTGTAGATCTTGAGCCTAAGAGCTTGAGATTACTTGCGACCCTGATCAGTAGTGAGGAAAAAGTTAGTTATAGAATGAAGTGGCAGGGAGCCAAATAAGACGGAAACTTGTGGCACTTCTGCACCTGTGTAACCCAATGGCCAAAGCCTCTTGGTTGCTGTTTTATGCTCCATCTAACATTCTGAAGACATTTATTTTCATACATTTCTAAACCAGGATTGTAGAGCAATGGAAACTGTGGCTTTAACCATAATAATTTGATAATAGAAAGATGCAGCATAAGCCATTCCATGATCTATAGGAGAGACTCACACAGCTGCATTTACCTGGGAGCTCAGCTGGTGCTGCAACTTCCAAGATGGGTTCCCTAAGCTGGTACCTCACTTGGAGTGAATAAAATAGGGTCTAGATGTTCCTCTCTATTTGCATATCAGTAGTCTGGCCTAAATCAAGGATATATCCCAACAGGGTGAAAGTAAAGTTGCAACTCTCTTAAGCATTCAGCTGTAAAATGTGTCCAGCCTTTTAGCCACATTCTATCTACAAGCCATAAAAATTCAAGGATTTTTTTCCCCTCCTTGAGTTTATTGGTACATTTTAGGTATACAGTACAGTTACATTCATTATTGGGATCTTGTACCTTTATGACAGGTCTTTTTTTTCCCCTCCTTGAGTTTATTGGTACATTTTAGGTATACAGTACAGTTACATTCATTATTGGGATCTTGTACCTTT